GTTTGTCTGCTCATTTCTGATGCCAAATGGCTCTTTTAATTTGCAACAGACTGCACCTTTCCCAGTAATAAACTCTCTTGTGTGCTTTGTTTAAACGTGTCTTTCTTTCCTGTTCACCAACACACACACACACACACATCTGTAACCTTAAGGTCACTCTGCATTCTTTAAAGGCAGCTCCATTTCCAGACTCACTCAGTGAGGAAATAGAGTAGTTTAATGGAGATCTGGGGCTCAGATTAGCCTTTATCACTCTCAATAACTTCCTCTCTCAGGATAAAAAACACACACTGAAATAAAACGCTGATAAAAACCATTAAAATAAATCATGCAAGTTACAAACACAAACAAGACAAAGGAAAACAAAACTCTCCCTACGGGGGGTTGTGTTAATAGAGTAAATCGGCAGGATCATTTCAGTAACCCTCTGCCAAGTTAAACTGATTATACTAGCGCTAATGATTTTAGGGAACATTTTGAGGTAAATCAGACAAAATGCATATGCTTGGGAATTGGTATTTGAAATTTGGGATTGGGGGGTGTTGGGGCTGGGCTAGACATCTTAGTTTCAGATACTAACAGAAAGGAGACTTCTCTATACTCAGTCTGTGTGCTGTGTGTTTACATAATATTTTTTATAATTTATTGGACACAAAAAAATAATAAGAAATATAATTTTAGTATTTACTTTTTTATTTGTGTTTTTTCCCCCTTTCTTTCTACCTAAAATTCACAATGGGAAAGTAAAATAGAAAAAAATTGACAATTGTTGACACAATGAAAGTAGAGATATAAAGTTAAAATAAATAGCATAACATCACAGTCGTATTTAGATTTCTAGTGGACGCTAGTGGATTTCTAGTGGATTACGAGGGCAGAGAAAACTGAGAAGTTTTTGATGAATGTAACACAAAATAATATTTATAATAATAAAACATTTTAATAATATAAAATATTAAATAAGTATGATATTTTAGTGTCAAAGTTAACTGTCAATTGTCAAATCAATTAGAATTGAATATTAATCATAAAATTGGTTGTCCTTAGCAACCAATGATTTTTGCTTATGTAAAAAAATAATAATAATAAGAAATCTATAAACTGTTAAACTAAATTCTCCATTTTCTTTCCTTTTAATCTAATTTTAGTCTAGAAGACACGGTTGGCACACTAAAGAGGCCTAACATGCGATTTCCTTTTACCAGTTGAATGTACACCTATGGCGCTCTATCTGTCCTTTTTGTTTAACACACACATGTATTTCATTCCTGTTTTACCCCTGAGGGCAGCCAGAAGACTATTTTGCCCGGTCATACATCATCTCGGTTTGAAGGTAGCCCCACGCAGGCGGCTAATGAGGCAAAATGAGACTGATTAGCCAACAAACCTTAAAGTCACTGACAAGGCAGCCAGGCAGTCACACTGAGACACAAACACAATGGATAAAACACTGCTACATGCTCTGTTTCTTAGTTCCCCACTAGTCCCTGTCTCCTAAACGCACAAAAACATCTTTGTTAAAGTCTCATGAAGTATTTTCAAGGTGTCCTTTGCCTGAATACCTGCTCTGTTCTCCATAACATCATCCATTTCCAAGAACTCGCCCCTTTAGTCCACTGACAGGCATGTTCCACTCACATGAGTTGCACAGGTGATGGAGGATAAGGCCTGACCCCTCTGTGCACTGAAGTAGTGGTACAGCAGTGGTGACATCAGATGATCCCTCTGTGAAGTGCACATCGCTCCGGTTTCATCAGCCGGCTACCGTGCAGCTCTGCCATTGACCTGGGGCAGGTAATGCCTCACTAATTGGCAGGGAATGACTAAATGCCATGCTGATTACTGACAGTCCACAATTGCCTGTGTCTTCTCCAGACAGTCTGTGTTAGCTGGTGTCTAGAACATGATTAAGTGCATGGATGGGGCTTTTGTGGATGGACATCTTCACACACACACACACACACACACACACTGCGGGTCATTGCGAGGACAGGAAGCCATTCCTGCTGGTCATCTTCAGTTCAGATCGTGGGCCATTGACAGACCTGTCAGCAAGAGAGAGGGTCACACGGAGTGTGTGTGAGAGTGTGTGCATTTGTTTTAAGGTAGATGTCTATGATTATCTCAGGTCACATCAGAGGATGCCATGAATCCTTGGCTAAACACACAGTTAGTAGTGAGGAATCTGACAATATATTTATGTGTGTGTGTGTATCTTATAAAAAAGCACTTTTCTATGATGTCTTCATTTAAAAAAAATTTTACATTTAATTATATATATATATAATATATATGTATGAAGAGTTAATTTGCAAAGACCGATAACTCTATTTTTTTTTCTTCAGAATTTTTTTTTTATTGTGGATTCCAAGTAATATCAATCAAACTGCAGTTGGGTTGTTTGGATTAAGTAATAATAACTTAAACAAATACAGGTAATTTACTAAATTAAAGTTCATTTAAAGTTTTTTTTTTTTTTTTTTTTACATATTAGAAGTTTGTTTTATAGCAAAAGCAGATAACGCCACACTTGTTGTTGTTGTGATCATAAACTGTATGGATGTGATTGCACGCATTACACAGAGCTTTTCCCTCACCATTGCAACGTGCTGCTTTTATTTTCCTTTTTCGCCCTGAAGAAGATATCACAGGTTCTTCAAGTTCGTCGAAATTATCCATCCTCGATCACTTTTAGTCAGCTTTCTTGACGAAACTCCTCTCAGCTAGCAGCACGTCTTTTCAAAGTGAAAGTAACCTTGTCACCTGACCTGAATACAGCGCGCTGATTCGCTAAAATTGACTTATAGGCTTCTGATCAAAAACAACAAGGGTGCTTGTCAGCTTCTGCAGTAAAAATAAAAAATAAAAACTCTTTCTGACCCCAAACTTTTGAGTGGTAGTGTATATGTGCCACATGACTGACAGACATATTTCCAGCAGATGGACAATTCAGGAGCCGACAGGAGAGAAAGCAGAAAGGAAATTGGACATGACACCAGCAAATAGCAGGTTCAGAGGCCAGGTGGGATGCTGATATTCCAGCGTTGTTTCCAAGAGCTTAACCAAGATAAAATCCTGCTGTTCCAATACATGTTTTGCTAATAAAGACACTGAGAAAAATCCTGGGGTTTAACAAAGCGTTGGTGCACTGTAAAAACTGGAGACGCTAATACAAGCGGATGATAAATTATTGGTGATAAAACAATTTCCAATAACCCAAACCTCAAGTGTAGAGGTGTATTATGAGTTTAGCCGTCAGGCTCTCCTCTCAATTTCATTCGGGATCAATCCTGGACATTATTAATCTTTTAATATATTTACTCAATACAACAGAAGCAATATAAAGTTAAATCAATAAATCTAGACTGAACTGGCTCCAGACTGTAAGAGGTAAACTTAGAAAAATGTAATATTTCCTCTTATTTCTAACCCCTTTTCACTATGTTTTGATGTTTTGACATGTGTCTATCCTGTAGGCCTGAGTAAAAATAGAGTTAGGGGGTTGAGATGGGAATAATCAGACTCAAGGGACTATGTGGGATGGCGATAAGCTCAGATTTCTCCTCTCACATGTGTCTGTGTTGTCGGGGGAGGGTTGTCTCTTCCTCCACCCCCTTCCTTGCCCCTGACAGAGCTATTACCCCTGATAACAGTGTATTTGGGTGTTCCTAGTCTGAGTCCCGGCTAACTGACTTTGACACAAATATTAGTGATAATATACAGTCTGATGGCCATTATCACAAAATAAACCTCAAAAAAGTGATCAGGAGCCCAAAAGGAACAAGTTACTTTCCAAATAAATAAATGGATATGAAATACTGATTTCATATGAGTCTTAGGACTACTTGAAGTTATCGCTAGCACAACAGTCTAAGAAATCAGCTGTCAGCTGCGAATAATTCAGTTTACTCTATCGGTTTAGTCAACCCAATTTCATGAGAATGTAACAATTTTACAAAAGTGGCGATTTTGCATGAATTTGTACATTCATATAGAAACATGTTTTTTTAGCAAACAAGCATTGAAGGTCCATAGCAATGCAATGCTACAAATGAACCACTAATTCACCCAACATGTGAAATAGTTACAAATTAAAATGGGAATTTGGTTTAGTGTGATAACACCAAGTTATACAGCACTGTTGCATACTTTAATCTGATTGGTTGACAAACGCTCTAAAGTGCAATTATTTTTCAAGTAAAAGTAAGGCTAAAGTAGCTCCAGACAGGTCTTGACCACATTACAGTTCCATATCACTTTGCCAAATGATTTCAGTTATTTCAAAGTCCTTATAGCCTACAACAGAAAAAGAAACAAAAGCCACAAAAACATTGACCAAACCTACATTTTTCCTGCCATCTGAGCAGTTTTACTCCGATTCTGGCATTTATTTTTCGAATAATTCAGCCCGTTGTCAGTTATTCCTTAATTGACCTCAGATTACATGATGGACCAATCAGAGTCATGCATTCCAGAATACTTTCACGTTCATTGCAAACACAAGAAGAAACATACAAGACACATATTTAAGTGCAATTGGAGAAATTCAGAGCTTATACACTAACATGCAAGCTCTAACATGTACTGCTGTAATTTCTGTTATAAACACCCGTGAGAGCAAACAGCCAATAACACTCTGCAGTGCTTCTTAACTGGTGGGTCACAACACTAAAATGGGTCACAGGTCTGTTTTAGTCTGTGGAGAGCAGGAATTTGCAATCAATGTTAAGCTTATTTAGGCTAATGTTGGCTTCATGGAAATATCAAGACATGTACAAAATGCTGGTACTATGTTGGGTCTGTAAAATCATGATGCAAACCCAGCATGCTGGTGTAAAACACTGGTACAAAATGGAAATATTTAATTTCATGTGGCATTTAAAAAACAAAACCAGCCCAGTAGAAAAGACTTTATACTATACGCATATAAAATATTTTCACAAAAAAAAAGTGAAATATTATTATAATTTAAAACAACTGTTTTCTACTTTAATATCTTGAAATGTAATTTATTCCTGTAATGGAAAAGCAGAATTTTCCATTGCTCCAGTTTTCGGTGTCACATTATCATTCAGGAATCGTTCTAATATGCTGATCTGGTGCTAAAAAAAAACATCAGTAACAATCGCATACATTTTAATATGTTCAGTGTTTCACATTATAGTAGTCTTCCAAACAGTCATTATAGTGCTTACCTCGGTCAAATTCATGTCTTTCGCTTTTCTTCCAGGTTCAGATGGGACAAGCGCAAATTGCTCCGTTTGGTCTGAACCTGCCATTCCATTACCCTTCAGCCCCTTTGGGAATGGACATATCCATGCTCCTCATGACCTCTGACCTCTCTCCATCAGGACATGGGGGTGAAACACGGGGGTCTCTTTATGGTCATTCCTTACTCTGAGGTCCACAGGGATGTCACCCTGAGATGTTCTTCTACTGATGTTTTTCATGGCTCCTCTCTGGAGAGCTGCAACAAATTGTGGTAAACTAATGGTATATTCATTTTTTTTAATGGCAACAGCTGGAATTTCGGGGGTAAAAGACCATGCCAATTAATTGCTAGAGAAATGTGTTTCTTCTCTATTTTTAACAGGGTTTTTTGTCTGTTCACAAATCTACATTGCCTAAATCTGAATTAGCTAAAAGACTGATAAACCTTATATGGTCCATTTCATAAAATACCAGAAGATCCTTCGCATGACCCCTCACTAATCTTAAAATGCTGATAAACTCATTTAGTGAAGGATTAGCTGGAAACTCAACATGGTCTGATTTATTGTCAGGCCAGCTACCATTTTTGTCTCCACATTGGTAACAGAGTCTATTGGATGCGGCTGGTGGTCAGAGATCTCAAGCCAAAGAGCCAACGATTTACCGACGGCTCATCGACTTTGTTTGGGTAAATGTTTGGGTAAATGCTTGAGCAGATCATCTGGTTAGGTTCACATTATTCTCACAGTAAGATTCTCACCTGGCTAACAGAAAAAAAGGCCATTTCCTGAAAATCAATACTAATGTACACGGCAAACTGAAAAGAAAAAAAAAACATTAAGACAAGTCTCAGTAACTTGAGGATTACACAGTATTTGCCCAGTGAAACACATTGCTTGAGGGCAAGAAAATAAACATGAGAAACAAGGGGAAAACAGCATGAGATAATAAGCCATACAATTTTTTTTTCCAATTGTGCAAAAACTGAGACAGGGCTTTAGATCTGTCAATTTCAATTATAGGTCAGGCAAGTGCCAAATATTCTTTATTTGCTCTGTTGCCCTTTCTTCTCTATGACCTTATTCAGATATAACAAAGTAAGTGCTGAAATAAGTCAAAATGCTTTTTTTGTCCCTAAGAAGGGTTTCTATTTGCATAAACATTCAAGGATTTAGGATATTAAAACAACACATAGCAGATTTGCCAAATTTGCTGTTTTCCTGCGGAATTGGGCTACTTCTATACTGCTACGGCAGGTTGTGTTTTCAGTCCCCAGGTTGAAACGAAACCCCCGCCCCCCTGGAATGCGACTTCAACCAAGGTGGAACCCCCTGGAAGGAGGTTTTGACCTCCCCCCAAAGCGCATTTTTGGAGTGATTTTTATAGCCATATTCCCCCAAAATGCAATTGGGCTAGTTTTGGCCATGATTGGGCTGGTTTTGTTACGCAGACCTGGCAACCCTGAAACACAGAGATCCCTAAAAGTATTTTGACACTTCAGTTTTTAAAATTTGACCTTCATTTGATTAGATATTTACCATCAAACCAAGAGGCATCAGCAAAGAATTGATGTGTTTTTAAACAAAGATCATTTTTCGTGTATGCATGAAGTTGTATTTAAACAATATATTTATTATAATTTGGCTTAAGCATCCAAAGCATTTTTGGGGCCACTATGCATTTGTGAAAGTAAAATGATCTGAATTAGAGGGAAGAAATGCATCAATACAGGTGAGTAATAGTGATGGAATAGTTCCAGCAGAACCTTATAGCTGTAGAGTGAGTTCACAAAGCAGGAACACATTAAGATCGAAGTGAGAAAAAGCAGAGAACCCGTTTTCATTCCAAAATCTTCTATAACTATAAATACGATACTAGCAAATTCAATGACTGATCTACAGTGAGCCAGGGATCTCTTTGGCCTGCTAGCGAGACCCTCAATTCTGAATTCATTTTCCCTCATAATGAAAGCTTTCCTATACTAACATTTAACAGATGGAAGACCACCTTTTTCATATTTCCTTCTGATTGCAGTAATAGTCTTATTTATGAGTGTCCATTCCAACTGAAGCACAGATCTCAGGCCAGGCAGAGCTGGAAGCGTGATGGAAATTAATCTAGTAATCTTCAGATCCTTTCCTCATTTTTTCAAAAACTACCCTAATTCATCACTGAAATCAATGACATAGATCAGATCGTGCCAGGTCGTTAGGTAAGGCATGATTAGCCTGGAAAACTCAAGGCCAAAAGCGTCCCAGATGTCAAAGAAACTCCTGGAGCGAGAGCTTGTGAATATACGAAGGAAACAGCTATTGTTAATACAACATGTTGTAATAGCAACATGTGTAATGTGAGTTTAAGAAATGTTACCTTTGAGACTTCCCTCAGCTACTGTTCAGTTAATGTAATTATAACTGGCATGGTGTTCTACTAATATCTCTAACACATACACTCTAAAGAGGGAACTGAGCACAATGGCTCAAAGTTTTCATCAATAGAGGCCCACGGCCGGATCCAGAAGCTCCCTCAAAGCTTACCAACATCCAGGCCTCTCACCCACCTTCCCATCCCTGATTAAAACCGAGACGGGGCCCCTGAAATCAGCACATGTGAGCAATTACAAAGAGACCTTCAGCAGCGTAATTTAAGCTAAATTAAACATTTTCATTAACTAAAATAACAATAAGTAAAATACAATTTAATTAAAGTAAAATACATTTTCGTGACTCCACAACGAAAAAACAAACAACATTTTTGATATAAATTATATTAAAGAACTTAAATATAATAAAATAGGAAAATTAATTAAATAGAAAAAAAGCCACTAGACAGCAATATCCCTAGCGATATATGCCCCTGAGAAATGTAACTTTTTTTTTTTTTTTTTTATCAGTTAATGCGTTAATGTTATCAGCACCAATATACTAAAATAAAATCGAAGCATAGTACGAAAAAAATTAAACTTGTTATAGTTTCTGTAAACGCTATAAAAAAGAAAGAAATAAAAAAAGAAAGAATGCGAAAAACAAACTAAATTGGCCAAATAAATAAAATAGAGCAAAAAATAAAAACAGAACAAAAATAGAAAATTCAGTGGCTTTTAGTGCCTTGGCTTACTCCTGGTAGCCCAAACACTGATTAATTTAGCAGGTTGAATAAATGTGGCTGTTCGTGTGTGCTGACAGCGAAGATGGTTGGATTTTCCAAAAAGTGGACTCCACTAAGAAAGTGCAAGGCTTTTTTGGCTCTTCTGCAGATTGAACAAAGGTGGTGTGTTAGGGCAATGGTCTGTTGCTTTCTTGTGACCCATGAAATGTTTTACAAAACACTTTCCTATAGCCGGCATGTCTACTGCAGTTATCCAGGTAGCTGCCCTTGATTACAAGGACAGATGCATCCCAATTAGCATGCCGGTCCGATTAGCATGACCACCTGTACTTGAGAAAACAGGGCAATACCCCTGACTAATTGTGGATGGGCTTTTAAAAGCTGGCCCAAAAGATGAGTCATCCAGCAGCTTGATCCAGTTCAGCTCAGCTCACATCCCGCTGCAATCAAGAACATTGAAACCTAAAGAGCCAGGAAGCACTTGGGAACAACTGCTTCCATGAATCCCTGCAGTGAAGTGCAGTGGCCAAATTAATCTCTTCATCTTCTCTCTGGACATCTCTTATCCTCCTCTGTCAGAAACTTGGCCGTGCTAAAGATTTACAATCACGTCTTCCTCTCTCTCTCCTATGCTGCTATTGAGTCTAATTACTTTAATGTTTAAGCCTCCACCATCTTTTTTCAGACACACATTTTCTTAGTTCCATGAACCAAATGCCAGAAGAGGCTAAGAATAACCCTCCTCATCCTACATTTTTGAAGGGATGATATGTGTCCTCGTATCATGGATTTACTTCAAGCCATAAAATAATGAACTCATTTTTCTTCGAAACACTTGCATCTTTAGAGATCAGCTGGCAAATCTAGACTATGAGCTATTTAAGCCTCATTTTAGCCACAAATAAACCTCAGTAAATGATCAATGACATGTCAAAATATCAAGGACTATTAAATTCAAATGCAGCACGTAAATGGAGACGTTTTTATGTAAAAACTTTGAATGGGAAGAAGCTTGTGACCACCAAAAAATGGCTACTTACAGTATGTGACTTAATTTGGACTCAAATAACGATATATATGAACCCACCTGGTTTGAGGAGTTTACAGTGGTTTTAGCACTTTTTTTCTCTCCAAATTGTCTGAAGGCCTTCAGAACACGTCTTTGGGCTGTCACTGTTCTCCACAGGGCAGATTTTCCCCAAGCTGCAATATGTCCATGTGATTCCTATATGCCAGAAATGAGACAATTTCAGCAACCTTAAACTCTTTATGACAAGACTGGGAGTGTAAATGGGTACTTTCTGCTTCAAGGACAATTTTATCACCACCCACCCAAAGAGCAAGGGTCAATTATTCCCACTAGAACATTTTCAAGGCACTTTTAAGAGTGTACCTAAATAATAATATTCATGAGAATTGTTGTAAAATATTTTCTGGTCTTAAAATCTAAAGTTTGCTGGCTGACTTACTTTACATTTATGCATTTGGCAGGTCCCTTTATCCAAAGCGACTGCATCGCATTGAAGGTAAACAGTTTTCAATCAGTTCATGCATTCCCTGGAGGAATTCAGGCTTAAATCTTAGAGTGTAACAAGCAGTCCACTGAACAGCAAGTTGTAAGAACCCAAGTGCAGCTTTTATTTAACAAAGTGAAATCCAAAATGCAAACAAAGACTTGACTTGAACAGACTTGACTTGGCATGAACAAACTAGACTCACCGACAGCAGGTTCCAACATCATAAAGCTAGACAAAGAACAATTCTTCTTCTTCTTTGAGGTTTAACGGCGGCTTGCATCCAAGAGCGTTGCATTACCGCCACCTTCTGGATTATACTCCTGCAATGTTATTCCATTTTATTTCCTCCAGCTTGTTTTCCACAATCATATTTTCCTCATCAAACCCGTTCTACAACAAGGAACAATGGCAACATGAGGGCTATTTGTATCAAACACTAAGGGACACATGATAAGAATCAACCAATGAGCAAACAGAACTGAGAGTCACATGACAGGACAATAACCAATGAGGAACAAGACACATGCCTAAAACAACCAATCTGAGCATGACACATACACTAGGCAGGATAACATAAGGATCAAGGGAATCACATGACAGGAAAATGAAACATGGCAAAATATCAAAAATAAAATACATGAAAACCTAAACCAGACACAAAACCCAAACCCCACGTAACATAGAGCATGGTGCTAGCAACAGCAAGGTCATGGGTTTGATTCCCAGGGATTTTTGAATGTATTTATCTTGGCTAAATAAAGGATAAATAAAAAATCCTTGGGAATCAAACCTATGCCCTTGGTGTTGCTAAGGCTATGCTCTACTGTTTTAGTTTAAGTTCCCCCAGAATGAAATTCTCTTATCATTTATGATTTCCTGTCTTCCATGGAACACATAAGGAGAAATTTAGATACATGTTTGTTGAAACACAATGAATGTAAATGGGGACAAATATTTTCAGGGTGTAAAAATGACAAAAATGTTTCTGAAGATTTGGAATATTCGAATTGAGTTGTAAAAACTGCTTTTATGAAACTTTGGCTGTGCTTTTTTGATAATTTTTGACCCAATTAACTTTCATTGTATAAAAAGTGTGGGTTGAAATATTACTGTAAAACTCAAAGTCCCCCAAAATTATCTAAGATATTTCCTAAGGTGTTTCTGCTGTAATTATGACAACACTACTTGTTTTCAACAAAGTTATTTACAGAAAGTGGAAGTGTTGATATATTAAATTAAACCTGATACATTTTGGGATTTTATAAGGGTATATTAACTCAACATCTAAAAACAGAAATGTTTTTCCTTTGCATTTTTGAAAAGTTTCGAATACAGAAGGCAGCGTTGTCAAAACGTTCCGCTGTCACGCGGATTTGCGAAAACAATTAAAAATGCTGTACTATGCATGCCAGGACAGTAGTTGGCAATGTCACTTTGTAAAAAACATTGTGCGTCTGCCAACATATGCATTCCTATAGAGTGGTGGAACTATGATGTCACTTTGTAGGCAAAAACCCGGAAGCGAGTTAGCATTTTAGCACTTCCAGTTCCATCGTCCAGAGTCAATGGGTTTTTTGAATAAGGTCTGTGTTTCACACAAGCTCAAAATACTTTCCCGTTTTATTCTACGACATAAAACACACCAGTTACACCCCACTTGTGATTTTTTTTTAAATGTTACGCTTCTTAAAAAAGACGGTTGCTAAATGGGACTACAGGTGCTGTCGGAGACATTAAACGTCATCACGCCGAACAGTTTATCAATTTACAGTATTTTCAGATTGTAGTATAATTTATAGTACAATTAATTGTAGAATAACCAATTAATGGTTTACCGCATTTTATATTGTTTTTTTTTTTTGCTTTGCCCCGAAATGCAACACAAGTCTTCGGATAGAAGATGCTCGTTTTATCGCTTACTGATGCGGAGACTCTGGGTTCGGACCATAAGGTAAAATCATGATTATTCCATGTAAACACCACATTTATCGGCTTAGTCACGGTGAAAGTGAAACTTTAACGATGCATAGTGCTTAAAGCCATGTTAAAATGAAATGTTTATGGCCACAAGAAGCTGTTAGAAAGCAGATTGAGGATTTTCTAGAAGCAAGGATAAAATAACATTCTGTGTATCCATCCTAACAAAACGATAGCTGAAATATGGTACTTTATTCACTTAAATAAGTTTAATCTTACCAAATCCAAAAACTCACTCAATCTGCTGTCATTTAATAGATTAATGCACTAGAATTGTATTGAATAGTACATTCACACTCGCTTTTAATTAAAAGATTCATATTAATCAAGGATTTATTGACTTTTAATGCACCTTATTTCGAAATGTATAGAAATACGTGCTTTCATATGTCCTTTAGTAATGATTATTTAATTATTCACTATACTATTTATTACTAATGTCTCATTTCAGTTTTAGTTTGGCTCTAGTTTTGTATTTATTCCAGTTTATATGAAAAGGTTCATGTAGCATGGATTAAAATCCATCCACAGAGTAAATCCTTTTCACTGAACACGTTAAAAATACGTTTGAAAAAGTTGTGGGAAGCATGGTGCTGGTGACGTTGAAGGCGAGCGACTGTGGTAGTGTAGTTCGTTTATAGCCTAAGTTTAGCTTTTAAGTACTGGTGCTTTTATTTTGGCTTCAAAATTCATAAAAGTTGTATTATTTTGTGAAGATTATCTTGATGGACAAAACGTGTAAATATCATGAACTATGATTGAACACAGAGCTTATTGTTTTGCGATAATCCAAAAGCCTATGGAAAAATCCCATTGGCTTTTTGTCGAGGGAACCAGTGCGATGCTAACAGTCGATCCACATGCAAAGTGACATCATAGTTCCACCACTCTATAGTCTGAACATGTAATACATATGCGTATGACGTCACCGTGTTCACAAATTTGCATTTTTGTAGTTTACACAGAAACAATAACAGTACTGTTTTCAAAAACTTGCACTATGAAACCCATTTTCAAATGTTTGTGTTTTTAGGCTCCCAAATTTTTTGGTACATTTTTCCTTACAAGTAGAATATTTCAATAATAAGAGGCTGTCAAAAATAATTCAGTCTTCCATGCATATGGTCTATCAAAAACAATCATGATGATCTCATGCTGCCAGTACAGTGTTGTATTCTACATTCATCAAGATCCGGTGATGAGAGATAGTGTCAACAACACTTCTGCCAGACTTCATATGAAGTCTTCTACCAAGAGTTCAGCTTTAACCCCGCCATCTCTCAGTCTTGTGTCACTGCTGACTGGTGCAGGAAGTGAGCAGAGATGTCTAGAGATAAAGTAAGTCTGGTGCTGAGGGTCACTGCCATTAGAGAGCCGTTTCTTTTCAGCGTTCTTTGAAACTGGGTCAAATCATTTGCTCATTCTAGCTGGGAAAAAAACGTGAATGTGAGCACATGAACATTAGATCTGTGGCGACCGACATCCCTTGACTTTCGTTTATCTGAAGGCGAACCTCCTGCTCGTACCTAAAAAATTCTGGTGTGACCTTTAGAGTTTGTTGTCAATGTCAGATTACCTTCTGAGAGGAAAGAAAAAGAGAAGCTCTCAAAACTAAAGGCTGACAGCTGTAGAGAGAACTACTGTAGAAGAACAAAAGCAATCAAGGAGAGAGCTGCACTATTCCACCAAGCGTAGCTTCTCTCTTTACAGAGAATTATTAAGTACAAAGACGGTAGTGGTCGCAGAATGGATTCTATTATTACTGTTTTTTTATTCCTTATTGTTCCCTGAAATTTAATTTCACTTCAGCTCAAAAAGAAATGTGCAAAGAAAGAATGGTCTGCGTGTGAGTGTGTGTGTGTAGAGGAGTGTGTGATAAGGGAACAATTGTTGCACCATCAAAACTTCTAATAGACATTTGATATCTGTTTCTGTTAGATTTACAAATGGTCCATTGCTTTAGTTACTAAATGAAAACTGGACAGAAATGGGACCATCTAGGAACTGCTAGTCTGGATGTTTGTGAATTGGCGTGCTCAGAAATGAACTTTGGAGGATCATTAGACTACTAAACTGACGGTACACTACGTATCTTTATATACTTGAAATTGGTACAAAACTTGGTGAAGTTCTGGCACTTGCTATGTGGAAAACAAAAAACAATCATGGACATGATCCTAAAATGTAAAATGGTCCTGAAAAAAAAAAAGTCACACTTTTTGTGGTAAAAAATGGAAATCAATTAATATAGTGGACACATGTGGTACTGCGCACAAAACAAACTCTTACTGAATTTTTTGAGATATCAAACTCAAATTTGGAACACAACTTGTTCAGATTTACGGCTTAAATTTTCAGTTTTAGAATAAAACATGTTTTGGAAAAAAAATTATATACTGTGTATATAAATTATATTATATTATATATGTTTTTTTGTTGTTGTTTTATTTTACTTCAGCAATAATCTGCAAAGTGTATTTAAAAAAACTAAAAAAAAAACTGGCCAAACTTAATGCTCCAAAGAATTCGAGATTTAATACAGTTTAATTTGGAAATTTCAGTTTCAGAATATAATTTAGTACCACTAAAAATAATACAATATGAAACATTCAAATTAAAATATAATATATTTTTATTTTATTGAAATAATAATAAAAAATTGTAATTTTGACCACCACATGAGGAGCAACAACAGTAATTCACTTACATTTTCCTTACAAATCTCATTGGCATACATTTAAAAATGACATATCCAGATGTGCTCCACCAGGTTTAACATCAATAATTGTCTCTTTATTGATGTCACTGATGTTCTTAATGTACCATATACTGTATGCATGCTAATTAGTTCTGAAGTACACATAGTGCTATTCATTTGAATATACACTATTAGGTAAAATAAATGTAGAACAACAAAGAAAAAGGTAAGAAAAAAATGAAAAGGATAAAAAGGCCTGTAGGCATGGACAGTCCTCAGCAATCTGTGATGGGTTGGAGAAACGCAGCGTTGTGGTTGGTCAGATTCTTTTGACCTGCAGGAAGATGGAAAGACTAATCAGTACAGATCTGATGGCTCGCTTCATGTGCTCTGAGCTAATGAGAACACTTAAATTCTCTGCTGTCCGCATAATGACTCTCTTTATCTGTAAATCCTCAGTGGTCTGTTTCTTAACCATCCCTCTCTTTCCCTCTTTCTCTGTTTTCACATGTGGAATGCAGTGGATGAGTCAATCACTCTTTATGTATGTAGACTGAATCTTATTTGTGAGCCTTAACTATGGTTGGTCGGAATGACGCTATACACTGTAGAAATATGTGAACCGGCAGAGATTTTGCTACAGTCTCAAAACAGGGAAGACCTGGTTATTAAAGGGGTGTAATGAGAAGAAGTGTTGCAATCAACATGTAATTTGCATCTTTAGTGGTATTGAAAGTGGCCTAATTGCATTAAAATGCTAGAATTATCAGTTTTTCCAACATTAATTTGAACAATTTAAGTCTTTACAAAAATGTTACATGATGTGAGGATATATTTGCACTGATGCCAGACTTGTTCATTTGTTGAATTAAGTTTATGGATATTACCCTTTTGTTAATCCAGGAAAAAAATAATAATATAATAGTTAATTTATAAAATATATAATAATTCACTGAATTAAAAACAATAAATTAAATCTAAAATTAAATTAAAATACAAAAAAAACTATTTCACCACCAATTGTTTTATGTGTAATTATTTTATTTAATGGTTTATTACATATCAGCCTTTACTATAGTTTGCAAACCTGTAAAATGAAATGCCCTACACCTCAAACCAGTACATTTTGAAAATTGTAAACAATATAAAAATACATGTTCATCATTTTATTAAGAGTTTTTTTAGTCATCTGAGGCCCATGAAAACATCTAATTAATTACCAGAGTAGAGAATTGCCAGACAGCTCCTCATCAAATTTGGGTAATGACTTCAGGGAAGAGACTGTTAAACATAGCTGCCTGCAGAGAGAGACAAGGATATGCTGTCTGCTTTCCGTGAGGTCCTCCCAGCCCACACAGACTCTGGGGTTTACTTACCGAACGCTTCCTGTCCCATGGGCAACGGAGGATACTGCTGAGAGTGTATATGAGAGAGATAGGTGGGGGTTAGTTTTATAGCCATTTTTGTCAAGCACTATTGGCCACCAGGAAAAGATTGTGAAAACTTTGCCAAGATTCCAACCTCTGGAATTTAACCTACGCAGCGGAACGGGAGCCATCGACCAGCAGGATGCAATGCTGTATATGAGCAGAACCATTTAGATACTGTAACGGGGTGAAGAATCACACGACAAGAAATCTCAATCAATACCCCGGAGGGTGGATTTATTGGGGTGAGGGGTGCTAGTGAGAAAGGTCCAGGTAGGTGCTCCGTTGCCGTGATTGCTCTCTTGCGTCTTCCCAGTGCAGAGGGTCCGTGCAGTGCTCCTGTGGGGCTGGTCGGTCACACGCTGCATTCTGTGGGGAAAATGAGAGTTAGTGCTCAGTCATATGGAGGAATCTCCCAGACGGCAGGGCTTGCGAGGCATCCGTCTGCAGCAGGAAGGGGCAGCTAAAGTCCGGGGCTCGGAGGACGCTGCTCCGAGATGAGGGACCCCTTCACCATCTGGAAGGCCTCCTCCACTGCTGGTGTCCACTGTACCTTCTACGGTTGCCCCTTCCTGGTCAAGTCTGTCAGGGAGGCGGCTAAAGAGGAGAAGTTGGGGATGAAGCAGCGATAATACCCTGCCAACCCTAGAAAGGCTCGTACCTGGGTCTTGGTCTCGGGTCTCGGAGCAGAGCGTACCGCCTCCACCTTCTTCTCCTGCGGCCGAATGAGACCCCGTCCCACCTGGAAACCCAGGTACTTCGCCTCGGAGAGGGCAAGGTGGCATTTGCGAGGGTTGGCGGTGAGTCCAGCCCTCCAGCGCTCCGAGAGCATCCTCCTTAACCGGTCCAGGTGGTCTTCCCATGCCTCGGACTGGATCACGACGTCGTCCAGATAGGCCACGGCGTAGGCCTGATGGGGCCACAACAGGATGTCCATCATCCTCTGGAACGTGGCGGGTGCCCCGTGGAGGCCAAAAGGAAGGGTCCGGTACTGCAAGTGGCCACTAGGGGTAGAGAAAGCAGTCTTAGGTTTGGCATTCTCAAGGGGTACCTGCAAGTAGCCTTTGGTGAGGTCCAACATAGAAATATACCGGGCCCTTCCCAGCCGGTCCAACAGTTCATCCACCCGAGGCATGGGGTATCCGTCGAACTCGGATACCTCATTGAGGCGACGGAAGTCGTTGCAGAAACAGAGGGTGCCGTCCGGTTTCGGGACTATCACGATGGGGCTGGCCCATGGGCTGCGTGGTGGTTCTATCACCCCCAACTTCAGCATCTGTTGAATCTCCTCCTCAATAGTTCACCGACGAGCCTCAGGGACGCGGTAGGGCCGTTGCCTGACGACAACCCCTGGCGGCGTCCGGATGTTGTGCTGCAGGATGTTGGTCCTCCCGGGAAGAGAGGAGAACACATCAGAGAACTGACCGACCAGGTGCTGCAGCTCCCTCTTCTGGGCAGCCGAGAGGTGGGGGTTGACGTCAACAGAGACGGCGAGGGCCGCAAGCTGGTCTCTAGTCCCCACCCACTTCTTCAGCAGGTTGATATGGTAGAGCTGCTCGGCTCTCCTCCTCCCTGGCTGGCGCACACGGTACGTCACCGGCCCAATCCTTTCCAGCACCGTGTAGGGACCCTGCCAGGTGGCCAGGAACTTGCAGGCAGCATTGGGGACTAGGACCATGACTCGGTCTCCAGGCTGGAACTCCCGTGGTTGGGCTGCCCGGTTATAGTGGCGCTGTTGGGCCTGCTGCGCTTTCGTCAAGTGTTCCCGGACTAATGGCATGACCCGGTCGATCCTTTCCCTCATCTGTCTGACGTGCTCGATCACAGAGCGACGGGCTGCCGGCTGTTGCTCCCAGGCCTCCTTTGCCACATCCAGGAGGCCGCGGGGTTGCCGGCCAAAGAGGAGCTCGAAGGGGGTGAAGCCAGTTGAGGCCTGCGGAACTTCGTGGATCCCGAAGTAGACATAGGGGACCATCAGGTCCCAGTCGTGCTTGTCCTCAGCGACCACCCGTCTCAGCATCTGCTTGAGGGTTTGGTTGAAGCGTTCGACCAGTCATTCAGTCTGGGGATGGTAGACTGTGGTCCTCAACTGCTTCAGCCGCAGCAGCCGGCAGAGGTCAGCCATTAGCTGGGACATGAAGGAGGTCCCCTGATCGGTCAGGATCTCTGCTGGGATGCTGACTTGGCTGGAGAGCAGGAAGAGTTCCTGGGCAATGGCTTTGGCGGTGGCTTTTCGGAGGGGCACTGCCTCAGGGTACCGGGTGGCATAGTCGACGATCACCAGGATGTGTTCATGTCCCCGGGCAGACTTAGGCAACGGCCCCACAAGGTCCATCCCGATGCGCTCAAAGGGCACCTCGATGATGGGCAGTGGTATCAGCGGACTGGGGGAGGTGTCCTGGGTGACGTCACTTGGCAGGTCGGGCAGGCTTTGCAGAACTGCTTCACTTCGGCCTCCAAGCCCGGCCAGTGGAAGCGGTCGCGGATCCGCTGGATGGTGTTCCCGGCTCCGA